CTTAGGATCTGTCTCCCTCGAGTAAAAAAAAAAAAAAAANACGCTTCGTTTCAGGGAAACAACTTACGCGACCTCTCGGTCCTAATTGCTCTAGCACAAATCGTAAAACTACCTAACATCGAAACAGGAATGTAAGTTTTAATTGCGAATATCCGCAAACGAACCAAAGTGTTCCTGCAAAGCAGGGTTAAGACAAAACCCTCGCAACACCGCGCAACATCTTCGAGCCCGCAAACGTTTCGAACACGAAACGCGGCATATAAAATAAAAACCAACTTTCGGCACTGCGAGACGTCGCAGACGCCCGGAGATTAGTTTTTCGACATAAATACCTTCCTTTGATAAAGTCATTTTCTTGGAAAACCTAACAGTCCGTTCGCGACTATAAAATACGTAAAACTTTTTAACGTACGTATCCTTCGCGAAGGCCAAAACAACGTAAACATTTATCACCTAAAAAGTTTGTTGCTGATCACAACAAACTCGCAACAGTCCTAAACAAACTTAAGTTATCTCGCAGGGATAGCTCTCGAACACCCGACACAAGGGTAATAGCGCTATAAAAGAAATCCAAACTTTTGGTCAGCACTTCCGGGCAACTTAAAAATTGTTCCCGGTGAGATGCTCGGTTCCAACAAGACGAATCGTATAAGCCGAGAACCTATCGCGGATTCTAAATCGGTATGGAATCAGGTTAAAATCGCAACAGGCAAAACGAAAGCCGACTAGTCATCGCATAGCCTCAATCCGAAAGTAAACCTAGGTCTTGCCCTAAACCCAGCACATTGGTCGCAAACGTCTCAAGGCATGAATCGAGATCCTAAAGGCATGTCTCTTCGTCTATATCTAAGCGCTCACTCGATTTACTAAACATCCTAAAACGGGCAAACGAACAAGGCGATACACTAAGGGAAAAAGGAATGCGAGACGACAACTCGCGGACCTCCCTCAATATCAACTCATAATCTTCCCGCTACATTCATACGAATAAAAACACGCTCTTAAAAACGCAAACTGATTTTTATTAAAGCCGCAAAAGCGGCAGGGACTCAGAGCCGCACACGGCCAGTCCAAAAACTATAACGGCCACGCTCGGCCAGACCAAACGGCCTACGAGGCTAGTCTCAAGGCCGGCAAAGGTCCAGATGCCATCGACATCAATATGCTCGATAATTCCTACACAACATATAACTAGACCGTAAAGGTCTTGCTAGGAAACGGGTCNAGCCGCACACGGCCAGTCCAAAAACTATAACGGCCACGCTCGGCCAGACCAAACGGCCTACGAGGCTAGTCTCAAGGCCGGCAAAGGTCCAGATGCCATCGACATCAATATGCTCGATAATTCCTACACAACATATAACTAGACCGTAAAGGTCTTGCTAGGAAACGGGTCATACGAACCTTAAATCCGAAACGAACTATGAAAGACTTGATCCCCTCAAAAGGGTATGTAGGCAGCCTTCACAAGGTGCAGCCCTAATCTTATACGCTTTCCGCTCCCCGGAAAGTGGAAAGATCACTCTTAACGGACCTTTCCAACCATTAATTCCGCCTAATTTAACTAAAACTAGAAAACCACTCGCAAGAACCTTACGCTAGAAGCTCAAGATTCTAGCGAGCTGGGGGGCTAACTGTTGGTGTCGATATCGGTCACGACGGAATCAATGGCTAAAAGTATCCGCAAAAGTAAAAATAAAAATACGTTTTATAAAACTCGAAAGATCGTTTTATAAAACTCGAGAAATCATTTTATAAAACACGAAGAATCGTTTTATAAAACTCGAAGAATCATTTTATAAAACTCGAGGATCATTTTATAAAACTCAAGGATCGTTTTATAAAACTCGAGAATCGTTTTGTTGGTGTCAAAAACCGTAATCTCAAAATCAACATCTACGATAACTTCTGGAATCATTACTTTCCGCAAAAGTCATTTATTAAAACGAAGAGTCGTTTTATAAAACTCAAGAGTCGTTTTATAAAACTCGAGAATCGTTTTATAAAATTCGAAGAATCGTTTTATAAAACTCGAAGAATCGTTTTATAAAACTCGAAGAATCGTTTTATAAAACTCGAAGAATCTTTTATAAAACTAGATAATCGTTTTATAAAATTCGAAGAATCGTTTTATAAAACTCGAGAATTGTTTTATAAAACTCGAAGAATCGTTTTATAAAACTCGAAGAATCGTTTTACGAAACTGCAAAAAACCGAAATAGCCGTAAAACGCGAACTAGTCACGACTACTTCGCCTATTAGCGAACTAAGCTGGCCCAGCTTAGTTCGCCAATAGGCGAACTAAGAGGCACTCGACTAGTTCGCCTATTGGCGAACTAAGCTAGCCCAGCTTAGTTCGCCAATAGGCGAACTAAGAGGCACTCGACTAGTTCCCCTATTGGCAAACTAAGCTAGCCCAGCTTAGTTCGCCAATGGGAGAACTAGGAAGCACTCGACTAGTTCGCCCATTGGCGAACCAAGCCGGCCCGGCTTAATTCGCCGATGGGCGAACTAGAGATTTCCCGGATATCCCGCGCCTCGATCTCCCGCATTCCCGACTCGAAACTTACGACACGGTCACGTTCTGAACCACGACCGAAACATCTCCCGTTCCATCTAGATCCGACTTATCGTTCGAGTTTTACGATAAAAACCGTAAAACTTCGCTTTCTCGATAAAGAACTCGAAGAAATCGTATAAAACGGCAACGGTTAAACGAAACACCGAACATTGCCTAAACTATACGATTTATTCGAGATTTCTCGTTGAAATCATAAAAAAACGCGTTTTTAATAAAAAAACGTCGAGTAAATCGTAAAAAACATATTTTTAATAAAAAAAAAGTCGAGTAAATCGTAAAACCTTACGATTAACTCGAGGAATTTATTAAAAACGATGTCAGATCAGGAAACGATCCCGTAAAAATCAGAAAACGGATTTATCGCGAAACGGTCCGGAAGGACCTAAAACGCGATAAAAACCCATCTCGCGATCTTAACGGAATCTAACCCGAAGATTCGATAACGTTTTGACGGTTTATTCGCAGAAGGAAAAATAAATGTCAAGTTCGAAGATAAAAGGCAAGTTTTCCGCGGAAGAAAAGGAAGGATCGAGAAAAATGGAAAATTCCCGATATAGTCAAATCTGGGCGAAATGGAAAGACCGGATGGCCAAGGCGAGGAGTATATAAGTAAGAGGTCTAGGGCAGAAGGAAGGGACATGAAATCCAGAGCTCTCATATGAGACTTTCACAACTTTTCTAGATTTAGAATTTTCCGCACTTAGAAACTTAGGCTTTTTCTTGACAAGTTCGGTTTCTATGACTGGCGCTCAATTACTAGACGAACTCGCCCAGGAAGTTTGATCTCTTGTCCAGCTCTATCAACTGAACTACATCGACTTGATCCCCGAAAGGGGTACGTAGGCAGCCTTTCATAAGGTTCAGTCCGAAATCATTCAAACCTTTTTTCCTATCTTTTTCCGTTTTTCGTTATTGAGCTGCGACTCGACTAGATCTAGGGTTTTATGTTTGTAACTCGCTGATGGCCCCTGCGGCCAAAGCCTTTGTAATTCCTTGTAATGATCGCAACGCTCTTACGCGAATCGGAAATAAGATCGACTTTCTTTATAAATTCGTTTTATTATGTTTTTCATATTTTTCCGCATTTATTTGGTTACTTGTCGTTGGCTTTCGNCAAAGCCTTTGTAATTCCTTGTAATGATCGCAACGCTCTTACGCGAATCGGAAATAAGATCGACTTTCTTTATAAATTCGTTTTATTATGTTTTTCATATTTTTCCGCATTTATTTGGTTACTTGTCGTTGGCTTTCGCAGAGATCCGGTTCCTCTGGAAAATTAGGGTTTTCCTAAGTTTCCTTATTTAACGGAAATCAACAAGTGTGAATTTCGGTTCCCACAATTATGACTCATTTATGGTCTATACTGCCATGAGTATCCCCCCAACCATGAGAGGTTGGGTGGTACAGCATTCATGAACAAGTATTTTGGAGGGAAAAGGGTAACATACGCTGACATGGAGAAGCAGGTGTTGTCAATGAAATCAAAGCCATCTGAGGATCGTAAGATGATGACCGTTCTGTACTTATTAGCCAGCATCCTCGTCGGAGGCCGGAAGACTGGTGACGCAGCATCACCTGTGGACAGTTTCTTCCTGAATGTTGTTGATGACCTAGATGCGTGTTTAACGTTTCCTTGGGGGCGGTATGCATTTGAACATAACTTGAAGGATGTCTCTAGGTTCTTGGAGAAATCCGACGGGGTTGCGCCAACGAGTTGGGTTTTTACAAGCATTCCTTTGGAGGTATTTTGAAGCTCTCTTTACTTAGTTGTGTTAATTTTAAATTGATGTTAATGTTTATTTGTTGTGTGTTCGTAGTTGTTTGCCTTTGAGGCAATCCCAAGCTTAAGGAACCATTTCTGAGATAATGTGATTGGTGCACGCCCTGATTTCCCGCGGATGTGCAAGATGGAGTACAAACGCAAAACTGGAACAAAGGAATTCAGTCTCAATGCTATGAATGAGAAACTTGGTACTGATACAAAGGTGAGATAATTGTATTAATTCGACTGATGAAAACTCTGTGAAACCATGAAAACTTGGTGACGGGACTTATGAGACTTATGAAAACTTGGTGAAATTAAGGCAGTTAATGTTTTTTTGTGTATTTGTCACAGGATATTGAGAGTATCTTGGTAGCAAAAACAGCTGAGAAGAAACTTCTGGAAACCATAGGGATGGACAAGGAAATTTGTTGGGCCGATGACTTCGATGATGCAGCAGTTGATCGTTGGACGAAGATATTACAGAAAGGCTCGACACAAGTTTTCTTTGAAGAACAGTTCCGCATCGATTGTGAGGCTCGCACAGCAAAGCTTAAAGGTCTCACCGATACAATCGGAGGCTCATCAAATAATGCTCAATCTGGTAAGGCTCATTCAGATTCGGTGGAGGATACTAGACATGAGGCTTTAAAAGCGATGGAAAGTCGGCTTATGAAAGCAGTCAAAGATGCTGTGAAGGATGCTGTGAAGGATTTGAAGAAAACAGTCTCTTCATTGTCTGACAAGGTAACTCTTCTAGAAGACGAAGTGAAAATTCTTTTAGGTCGAGTGGTGATAATCAGTCGGAGGAGAATAAGGAGTCGGACGAAGAGGATGATGTTGATAAGGCATCGGAGGAAGAGGATGGTGGTGATAAGGAGAGTAAGGAGTCGGAGGAAGTGGATGATGTTGATAACGCATCGGAGGAAGAGGATTGTGGTGATAAGGAGAGTAAGGAGTCGGAGGAAGAGGATGATGTTGATGATTACATTCGCGATGTTACAAACGAAGTGCTGAAGGAACATGGTGATGTTCATGATAACATGGATGAAGATACTGCACAGATGATTGTTCATGCTGAGAAGCATGAGAAGGCAGAGGCTGAGAAGGCAAAGAAGGAAAAAAAGAGGGGGAGAATAGATGATGGAAAAGAAGCAGAGCCTTCGAAAAGGCCAAAGGGTTTAGGAAAAGTGAGAAGTCCCATTAATACAAGAAGCCGTCGTTTTAGGGGGGAGAAGGGAGCGGAGGAGGAGGCAGCAGATGAAGAGGTAGCAGAGGAAGAGGGAGCAGGGAAGAAGATCAGAGGTGCAAAGAAAGCAGCTGAGAAGAAGGCAGCAGCTGAGAAGGCAGCAGTTGAGAAGGAGGCAGCTAAGAAGGCAGCAGCTGAGAAGGAGGCAGCTAAGAAGGCAGCCCAGAAGAAGCCACCCCTGAAGCCGGAGAAGAGTAAGACAAAGAAGGTAGGTAAGAAGACGAAGTGAAATCCGTTTATAGTTGTTTTAATGTGGTTGAACTCTATTCGGTTTGTATGACATATTTTAATTTCCGTATGACTTGCATGTTTGTTGGAGTTTGTTGTTTAAAACTTAAGTTACTTAGACTTGTGTGTTTTTAAGAGGGATATTGGGAGAAACTTTCAAAGTTTCACTTCCAACTTAGCCTAACTTCGTAAACCTAATTTTCTTCGAAATTCTCGAAAAAGAGGGAGATTGGGAGAAACTTTCAAAGTTTCACTTCCAACTTAGCCTAACTTCGTAAACCTAACTTCCTTCGAAACTCTCGAAAAAGAGGGAGATTGGGAGAAACTTTCAAATTTTCACTTTCAACTTAGCCTAACTTCGTAAACCTAAATTCTTTCGAAACTCTCGAAGAAGAGGAAAATTGGGAGAAACTTTCAAAGTTTCACTTTCAACATAACATAGGATGAGTTGAATGCCGAGTTCATAACGAATAGTTCATAACGTAACTGAAATAGATAGATGTTCGGGTGAACATAACATCTCATCCATAAATACATAAGATGTGAACATAACATAGAATCCATAAATACATAACGTAATCCGAATCTCATGGAGTGGTAGGATTCGGACGAGTAAGCTTATACTTCAGTTCATACTTCAGTTCGGCAATCTCCTTATCCATCGCATCCACACGCTTCCTTAACATTTTGACCTCTTCCTGGACTCCGAAGACCCATGGTTGATGGAAATGGAAGCCATCATTCTACACGTGAAACGGAAAAGTATCAAAATCTGCACATAAAAAAAACCCGAAAGTATCCCACAAATTACCTCAAAATTTTTGCAAGTGAAGTATTTTCTCCCCGGTAAAGTATCAAAATCGGTTGGATATTTCGGGTCCCGAGACACCTCGTAGATGATCCTACCTCCACAAGGGCATCTGGTCGGAATCCCACACTCAGCATCCGCCACGAAGCCACGCATGTCGAATTCTCTCTTCAAAGCCTTCATCTCCATATATTCCTCGTCTGGATGAGTCATGATTTTGAGTAATCTATAATTCTAGAGAGAGAATGAATAAATGGGTGAGACAGATAACAATGGCTTTAATACATACACGTCTATCTCGATTTTGGGGAAAATTCAAAAAAGCTGGGGGGGAAATGTCAAAAAGCTGGGCGGGAAAAATTTGTAAATGATTTTCGTGCTTAAAGTTTCACTTGGTTTGTAGTTATACAAAAACCTTTTAAGTTTTACTTTTCTGTTTTTTGCGATTTTGTTGGTTTTACTGTATTTAGATGATTAATTTTATGGTTATACCAGCTATATTATGTTTTATATGAACGTTTTAGATGTTTCAGTGTAGAAAACAATTTGTTTTCGTGACATAAGTAACTTTTATAATCCCACAATGTAGTATATACAAAAAAAACATCTAACAATGATGTATTCCCTTCCCAACTGATAGAAAATATGATCCACATTATAAAAAAAATTCAGTCCACGTGATACGGATCTCAGAACATGTTGAATAAGTTACGTCATATTCCTTAAACATGATTAAGTAATGTCATCGCAGGTGTAATTACTCCAAATCAAAAATAATAGCACAAGTTTAATTAGGTTTCACCAAGTTTCACATTATATATCGCAATAACTTTAATTAGGTTTCACCAAGTTTCACATTCACATAACGCATGTTTTCACAAAGTTTTTGAGGATCTCCTCTAGTTTCACCAAGTTTTACATTTACAATCAACTCATGTGTTCACTGTCTTGAGTGCATGAAGTGCCTTGAGTGCCTTGTGTTTCTCGTGATCCTTGGGTGCCTTGAGTGCCTTGAGTGCCTTGTGTGCCTTGTGTTTCTCGTGATCCTTGAGTGTCTTGTGTTCCCTGTGATCCTTCTGTTCCTTGAGTTCCCTGCGAGCAGTTGAAATAGCTTGTCAAGCCAATATCCGGGTTATACTTATTACGACAGGGACGTGCCCGTCTTTCTCCTGCCGAAGGAAACCGTTTTTCCTGATGTCTTCCTTTTTTTCACGTACTCTGGAGGTAAGAGACACTTATCCGCGACTTCTTTTGGAACCATCCAATCAAACATATGAGGGACTGGATATACAGTCCTTCGATACGCCAAAGCCCACACTCTAATGAAGTAATAATCCGAGACGAAATCATACATATCACTCACCTGTATTGGTCTATCATGCTTCAAAAACTTAATGATAGCACCTATTGCATGTCTACACAGGTATTTATCTATATTAAAATTCCTGCAACTGCACGTTTTCTTGTGCAAATCCACCAAATAAGTCTTCCCATCTTCTCCAATAACACGGTATTCAAGCTGAAAAGTGTTCAGCGGAATCACATCAAGTCTTGAACCTTTCGGTGTTCTGTCATGGATTTTGTTCTCCACTAAAGGAACCAATATTCGAGATGCCAGTCCGGCTGCTGCATCCTTCCTATGTCTGTTGAACCACTCAGCCATTTTGTCAATAACTGTATCAAGCATAGGCAATAAAGACATGCTTCGCGCCTTTTTAAATAGCGCATTCAAAGACTCCGCACAATTAGAGGTGTCTATGTTGTACCTTGCACCGGGGAAATGACACTTCGCCCAAGTTTTGACATCGGCAGTATCATCAACATACTTACCACACGCTGGATACCTCTCCCTAAAATCTTGCAACTGCATTTCAAACTCATTCTCTGAATAAAGACATTCAATTTTTCTGAATTGTTTCGCAACTTCGTCCCTCCCATGTCTGACATGACCTTTCACATTATGCGATAGATGCCAGATACAATACCCATGTTTAGACAGCGGATACACTTCAGCAATAGCGTTTATTAGACTTCCATTTCTGTCTGAAACAAACACCAATTCCGTCGAATCTGGAATAACAGTTTTCAGTGTCGTGAAAAATCAAATTCCAGCTTTCTTTTCTCTCCCCATCAACGACACCAAAAGCAATTGGATAATGGTGAAGGTTTGGATCCTGAGCCGTGGCAATAACTAAACAACCACCTTCAACAGTCTTCAGGAAAGTTGCATCCACAGTGATGACTTTTCTCATGAATTCAAACCCTTCAATGGAAGCTCCCAACGCAACAAATAGGTATTTGAACCGCTTGTGTTCATCCAGTAACAAACTTGTTTTTGTATCCGGATTCACCTTCTCTAACATATACAAATAAGAAGGCAATATTTTGTATCCTTTCTCGGGATCACCACGCAAATCCGCAACAGCTTGAATTTTTCCTCTTAAACATGTCGTATACGACACTTCCACACCCAATTTCCTTTTCACCAGACCGAGCAGGGTTTTCGCAGTTGGTGTCTCATATAGTCCCAGATAATCTTTGTGCACTATAGATGCAACACATCTTGGGATAACTTTCATTTTGACTCTAGTACATGAAGTTGCGCGAGAGCATGAATGCATCTTCATGTATGTTCTAATCGCGAACATTTCAGAATTAATTATCTTTGTAGCTCTCACACCCCATTTACAACCTTCAGCTGCTAACCGACATTTCACCACATATCGACTCTTGTCCGAGTTGGAGATACTAATTCCGAAACAGTTCAGCTATGATGCTCTATCAATCATATCTTTCACAGCTTCTTTACTCGGAAATTCTTGTAACAACTCAATACCCAAACCATCTTCCTACTCTTTAACAACTGGAATTTCTTTTGCAACACGTGGGAGCTCAACATAGTCACAAACAGGACGAACACCCATGGAGTTATCCACGTCGCCCTCATTGTCAACGACGTTGTCCATACCAATGCCCCCTTCACCGGCTTCTCCAATAACAACATTAATGCCTCTTTCCTCGGCTTCTCCATTAATAACGTCAATTCCCCCTTCCTTTTCCTCTGCTTCTCTAGTAACAAAATTCTCCACCCCTTCAGCCTCTGGTAGATATAGTTCTGCTTCTTCAACTTCGGGTAATCCACTCGCAAGCTCACTATAGTTCCCACCATATGAGCTTTCTTTCTCAACTACTGATTGTTGCTCCATTACTGGAACTATTTCCATTCCTTTGATGACCTCTACATGCAAAATACTTCTTCTTCCCTCTTTATCCACTGATGTTAGATACACAAACACATCTTCATCATCCAAAATATATGATTGCCTCTTAGGTTCTACTACCAGTGAAATGTAACTCAGATTCAGCATCTTTAAAAATGGATCTATGCTCTTCTTCTTGCATATCCTCTCCTTCAAAAACGAATGAGTGATCTCATCCAATGATGATGTCTTAAAGGATATACCATACAAACGACCATCGCTTGGAATCCATTCATAATCATCACCAGATTTCGCATAATGTCCATCATAGTCAAAGTGTATGTTTGTAGAAGAATAACCCATTATCGGTTGTACCAAATAAAAATTATACAATTAAAGTTAATCTTAGTTATACAATTTTGCTATTCAAGTAATATTAAGTTATACCCTTTTACACATTTTTGTCAAGAGTAAAGTTTCAACACTTTTATAGTATACCACTTTCACCTAATCACCTAATTACACTTTTATAGTCTACTAGTTTCACCCTATTCATTCCAGAATTCAGCTTTGATTCCCGACATTTCTGGTTATTAATCCATTCCAATTCCATAACAATCACACCATCCTACTCCCAAATCTTTCTCGTTCTCCCCTAATCGACAACCCAATTATTCGATATCTACTGTATCCCAACGTAACAAGCAGCATTTTCATTCGGAGCGACTGGTTATAAGATGAATTACAGACCAAGATAATGCTTTACCTGAAGTTTTATTTCACTTGAGTTGGGGATTCATTGATTCAGCATCCAAGCGAGCCGCAGCCTTTACAAATGAAGGTTTGAACGAAATTGAGGAGTGACTACAGCAGAGCTTACTTCGGACAGAACTCACTTCGACAAGCCAAACCGGAAGAGTAGAAACTCAGAGAAGAAGTAGTTAGGAGAGAGAAAAACCACGGTTTGTTTTATTGGTCAACCAGAGCAGCGTTTTGATTGGTCAAGTAGAGAGGGGCATTTTCGACTTTGCCCATCGAAATGAAGAGTATCAGAATAGATAAGAGTACTTCAGATTTCGTAAGAGTATGGTAGATCACTTTTTCCCTCATTAAGAGCATCTCAGCTCTTTTCTCCATAAGAATCCTTAAGAAAAAGGGTATTTCGAATTTTGTAAAGATATTTCAGATTTTTTTTAAAAAAAAAAGAAAAAAAAAACCATTTGCGGGCTGCCACATGTCCTGAGGACTCACAAATAAGATAAAGATTCGATAAGAAACAATCCTTATTTAAGAATTTTAAGAATCGAATCTTTAACTTTTTGTGAATCTACCTATTATTTAATTATTTTCTCCTAAAGACTTCTTTTCGGTTTGGAGACTTCCTCTTAAGGACTTTCACTCTCGTTGAGCCTAATTTCTTGAAAAGAATTAACAACTAGATCGGAAAAGAGGGACACGTAAAGCCTCCTGGGCCCACCAATAAAAGAATATCCTAGAAGACTTGGTTACGGGGAAACCTAATATAAGAAGAAATTGTCTCCTTTCAGAAGCTTGGTTAACTTGTTCAATTCGATAATCGAAAATCGATAGGATTTACGTGATTTGCTTCTATCGAGATCAAAGCACTGGTTTCCTTCCTGATTCACTTTTGATCCCTTGATTTTCGTTATTTAATTGAGAAATCAAAGCTATAGCTACGGGTTTCTATTGATTAATCGTTTGTGTGTATATAAGTTGATTCGATTTCAGCATATGGCTACGCTTAATGAAAAAGTTAAAGAGAAGATCAAATTCAAGTATGAAGATGATGATTATGATGGAGATTCACCGCAATCGCCGTCTCTGGGGTTTATCCCAACCAAAATAGAGCCTAATTATCCAATCATCGACTCAGAAGAAGATTACGTGGATGATGGATTCGATTCAGCTGAACCCATTCAAGAAAACGTCCAAGTCAACTTGAAGAACGTGTTAACTGGTTTAATAGCCATTGTCACTGGAAGTAACAAGGGCCATGATGTTTCATTAGACCACAACACTCCTTCTTCTTCATCCAACGTCTCCTTCCTTGGCTCCTCCTCCGTTTACATACCAAGCGCCCCGCCTCTTTTTGAACCCACAGGGATCAACTACAGTGTTTACAAGGACTTGCTCGAAGCTGAACCTCCTCACTGGCTTCCCGACAGTTCCACTACTACCTGCATGCACTGCTCTTCCCCTTTCACCGCCATCACCTGCGGCAGACATCACTGTCGCTTCTGCGGAGGTATATTCTGTAGGAACTGTTCCAAAGGGAGGTGCTTGATGCCTATTAAGTTCCGTCAAAGGAGTCCTCAGAGAGTCTGTGATTCCTGCTACGAGAGGCTTGATCCTTTGCAAGCTGTCCTCATTAACTCCATTAGTAACGCTGTCCAGGTTGCAAAGCACGACGTTGTCGATTGGACCTGTACTAGAGGATGGTTGAATCTCCCAATTGGTCTTTCCATGGAAGATGAGATATACAAGGCTTCTAATACCTTGAGAGGTTATTGCCACGTTGCCAGATCAGACCCTGAGAAATCCATTCCCCATGCTCTTCTTAGTCAAGCTCAAGGTTTGGCCATCCTAACTGTCGCTAAAGCTGGGGCTTTGCTTTCTTACAAACTCGGGACTGGTCTGGTTATCTCTCGGAGGTCAGACGGGTCATGGTCTGCTCCATCTGCCATACTTTCACTAGGTTTTGGATGGGGCGCACAGGTAAAAACATTTTCTCTCTTTTTTCTTTTTTTTTCCATATTAACACATACCCCCCTCCCTTACTAGACAAGGTTGTCTTGGTCAGGTTGGAGGTGAGCTGATGGACTTCATAATAGTGCTGCATGACTTGAAAGCGGTGAAGACCTTCTGCAGCAGAATGCACTTTTCTCTAGGTGCAGGATGCAGCGCATCAGCAGGACCTATAGGGAGAGTCTTGGAGGCTGACTTCCGAGCTGGTGATAGAGGCTCTGGCCTCTGCTATACTTATAGCCGTAGCAAAGGTTCTCAACTTCCATTATCTATAAATATTGGCCGGACTCAGTAGCTCGATGTTACATAGGAGAATTTGAATAATTTTTACCTGAGAGAAGTTGTGTGTAACAGGGGCATTTGTGGGAGTATCTCTTGAAGGAAATCTGGTGACAACAAGAAGGGACATGAATGTAAAGTTCTATGGCGATCCATACCTAAGCACATCAGACATTCTACTTGGGATGGTGGATCAACCCAAAGCTGCTCAACCATTGTACACTGCGCTCAGAGACCTCTACGTAGGTTTACGTCAGTGATCTCCATTCACATTGCAAACAACTCGTGTATAAATGTCTTTCTCATGTACATATCAATTGTTTCTTTCTAGAACGTATGGAACGTTTTAGCATTTAATTCATTTAAGACTTGGTTTACCTTTTCAAATCATTCGACAGAATGTATGTATATGTGTTATCTTGATCAAAAGTAACAAGGGATTGTTCTCTCGGGTGAACCGAAGAAGAAAAATAAAACCCAAAAGCAATAAACCAAGCTAAAAGCTGAATGCCAGTAGGCACCATTACAAAGACACACCAAAGAAACCCCAGAAACCAAGGTCGGCACTTAACGCACTGATTAGTGATGGGGTAAGAGGCCAAGGAAAACGGTCAGCCTCTGGCTTCCAAATCAAGAATAGAGTGAAGCCATGCTGGGCCTTGTGAGGAGATGTAGGATTGGTACCTGTGGCCAGTAATAACGGATTTAGCAATCATGTTAGCTGCTGCATTCCGTTCAGTGGCTGCATGGCCCAAACTCCAATACTCGATCCGTTGCAATAAGGCCGTGACTTGAGAGGATATATAATGAAGGTTGGGAGGGGACGATAGTGATAGCATGAGCTTTAATAAGTCTTCAGACGAGGTCTCGAAGATGATGTTGTTCTGTCTCATGTTATGCATGCACTCTACAGCCCAAAGCAATGCGATCAGGTGAGCTTCCGTACTAGAATTAATTGAAGAGTACGATCTCCTGCTATGAGCGACGGTGTTACCGTGAGAGTCACGTAAAATCCAAGCCGCTCCACAGTTCCTATGAGCACTAACCCAAGAAGATCCTACGTTACACTTAAGGACCCCATTAGGTGGTTTGTTCCAGGACTTGACTAGTGTGGTCGGCTCAGGGGCATTGGGGGGAAAGTTGGCTGAGAACCAAATATCTGCTTCCTCAAAGGCCAACGACACCATCTGTCTAGGAGACACCACTGTGCTTTTGAAAGCCAAGGAGTTTCTAGCTTTCCAAATCTGCCACAAGACCCATGGGACGGCTCTTCGAGTGATCATCTCCAAGCTGCTATTCTTCATCACACCTATCAAGTGATGAATGTTTAGAAACACCGAGTTCCTGGAAAAACCCGCAGTAGGAATGGGAATATTAGCTAACTCAAGCTTGGCGAGCTTTGTCACACGTGAAGAGAACATGGCAAATGGATTCCACCCCTGACCCACAACACTGACATGTAGAATCCACAGGGATCCCTCTGGTTTGGAGACGTTCTTTCACCGCTAAGGCTCCCGACATGGACCTCCAGAAAAAATGTTTAAGTTTAGGAGGGGATTTAATCTTCCAGATGTTGCTCCATAACTTCTTCTCAACAGGGGGAATAGGTCGATTGTTAGAGGCTTGGAGCTCCACAAGAGTATCCGATAGATGATAACCACTGCGTGTACTGTAGACTCCATTTTTGGTGAAGCCCCACTTGATAGTATCCTCTCTATTCATGGCCGGTTATCTTGATTCTTATATTCATGATTGTTGTTTTCAATACTTTAGACTTCGATGATTAATTGAATGAAAAGAAAAAGAAGAAGAAAAAGAAAAAAGACTAGCATTTGAAAAGAAAAAGGAAAAAGATTTGCATTGCAAACAACACGTGAAGAGGGGAATTTTATAATTTAAATAAATAAAGAAAAGTACAATGAAGTTTAAGGGACAAGCAAGCCATTAGAGGTCTTCTGAGGCTTCTTCCTGTAATTCGAGACGCTACAGTTTTGGCACACATATTCCAACCCATCCGTTTTCGCATAATCCTGTCATATAGTAATTAGTCAGAACACACATGAAGGCTTATGTACAGTGCAAATGCTTGTTTGTTCTTCTAACCTTGAAGGCGCCAAGTCCGGGCCTTCTGTCACATCCGAAATGAGCCCATTCTCCACAGGATCCACAATTCACCCAGTCACCTGCCGTGCTACTGTTTCAACGAGGAAACAAAAAGCTTACATGAGAGAGGGAGAGAGAGAGAGAGAGAGAGAGAGAGAGAGAGAGAGAGAGAGAGAGAGAGAGAGAGAGAGAGAGAGAGAGAGAGAGAGAGAGAGAGAGAGAGAGAGAGAGATGTACCTGCGACATATTAAGCAACATTCTCCATCTACATCATCATGAGCATACTCATACTCCAGTAGATATGTCTCATAGTGTCTTTTCAGCGTATTGCCCACTCCCTGCCACATATAAAAACCTCTTTTAAAACAAGAGTTTCAAGAATAATTCGAGTTTTGAGAGACTAGATAAATCAAATTATACTTACAGTCATTCTGTTAGTGAGAGTGTGGTTCCGCATCTTTGAGAAAACTTGTCCTTTCCAGTTGATCCCATTCCCTACGTGGAACCCTCCACGTGATACAACCTGCCAAAAACTCTCATTAGCACACTAAATTCATAGTGCTTGTGTGGGTTGGGGTGATAGAAACCAAACTACCTCTCGGTACAAGTTAAACAGATCAAGCCGTTTTGAGTTGAGAACAGCATCCGGAAACTCCGCTAGTCCCCCTGGAGGAACAAGCCGGCTATGTCCTCGTATTATCAGAAACTGCATCACATCCCTCAGAAATTCATCCTACATTAATTAAGACCGAATTCATATGAACTCCAAAGAAAGAAACATTCAATGTTCCAAGTGTTTTTTCTTCTTTTTAAGCTAAACCTCTGAGCAAATCTGAATATGCGCTCTTCCACAGTCGTGTTTCTTGAGGGGCAGAGGGTTTAGTGAGATGATTTGTTTCCTCTGGTACGAACCAGAAAAAGCTTTACGGTGAGTTACCGGAGTGCCTCCTGATGCACCATGCTTTTGAGGCATCGGCAAGCTTCCTTTGGTGTGGTCACCATCAAATCTTCCAATTTCAGAATAACCAGAGAAAGGTATCATCTTATGTCGACGGGTGTGAGGTATTGGTCTCAGAGCAGCCATGTTGATTTTCTTCCTTGTAGGTTCACCGTTTTCCTGGATGTTAATTTTTTCACAGGATGCAATCAGTAAAGATAAAAACAGTTCAATACAAAGAATGCTCGTAGACAAAGTGTACTTCCAAATAAACATTCTCTATAGAGGAAGGCTTCATCCTCCGGCGTACTAAACAATACCTTACTTTCTCTGCATGGCTCGGATCTTTTCCTGGTTGGCAGAGGAGGCGTTAGCCAGTGAGGAACTTTGGACAGAAGTAAATCATAACTTGAAGTATCATCAATCTCTTGTCCGAAGAAGAAAAGTAGACGTTGTGCATCATCTTTTCCAAAGGAAGCAACAGACAAACCCTGAATGCTGGCTACTCCAAGGACAACCAAACTGCGGTATGACACATCTGGCGCCAGCTGTCTTAAAACCTACCAAAAGCAAAACATTACCAAGGAAAAAAAAAGCTGCAAAGCCTTCTTTAATGTCCGCTGTGTTGAACGACTGGACGAGATATTACTATCTACAACAATTCTAAGTGGATCAAAGAAAGAAATTATTAACCTGCAGAGCCCATGTTGGGACTTGCATCGAAACTTCACACACGCTTGTCCCACAAGCTATGGAGGCAGATCTCCTAGGCTCAGAGAAAACCCTTTTTGTTTCATCTGAGTTCACCACTGAATGGACTAGTTGGATCTTCTCAACCACCTCGTGTTTTATGTGATTTTCCAGAAGCTAAAATTTACAAAAATAAATAAATCTCATTTCATATGTAATGAAGAGAAGAGCCCAGTTTCTAAAAGATATAGTCCCTTGCCTGATCACTGAAACAGGTCTGCGCGTTTCCAGACACCAGCATCGATATGTGAGCTGAAGAACAGGTCGATATATCACAACGCATGGTGACTACACCACGAGTAAATGTTCCTGCTTGAAGAGGAGGTGCTGGAGCACTGCAGTATTAATTCCGATAGCAAGAATATTAGAAGTTACAAAAAAAAACAAGTATTATGCACAAGTTCATTGAACGGTTGCTTAGCCACGTAAAACACGTACCTAGAACGGTTATGGAGCTTACTTCCTCGCATCTGGAACAACGAAATAGTAAAGTTATAATTTGAAAGGACGAATAGTAGGCCTACTAATGAAAGAGAAGGGAAATTTATTAAAAAACGAGCCAGAGACTCACTTCTATTCTCAAGAGAGCATTGAGTCCATCCACTAACGATTCTAGTAAAAGTGTATCCTGAAATAGCATAAAGAAATACTAACATTTGCTCAAACAAGCAACCATAAGAAAAAGAAATGTGTGAGAGTCGACAACCCACCAGTCTGCATTGTGGCCCACACAAAAGAAACTTTACGGTTACATCTTCATCATATATCTTTATTGATGGGAGGCTCTCTAATGAATTTTCCTCTTCAAGTTCATCGGCTCCCGGTGAAACTACATCAATCTTTGGAGGGTCTCCAAGCAAGTAGGGTCCCATCTCATAACTCATTTTACGATTGTTGTCAAATGAAAGGATGGCACTGTTACTCGTACAATAAAGTCGAAAAGATGCTTCTGCAACCTGGAACGCATCCCATGCATCGCTGCACGAACTGCATTGCCCAGAAACATACCATTGACGACTGACTATATATGTAGACTCAATTTAAGGATTGTTGCAACTTCAGATGTTCGAGTAAACAGTTACCTCTGTATGACTGAAAACAGAGCATGGCGGAAATGGCAGGCTGTGTATTTCGAGAACACATTTTTCCAATAAATAACATACTGAACCCCCTGCAGAAGAAACGGCAAAGCGCCCATGGACAAAATCGATTAGGAGGACCAATACGGAATAATGTATGCTCAAATCTAGCAATTAGGGGACCAACAAGGAAAGCTGTCATTTAAACTATATCTTTCCAAGACTCTTAACATACATAACAATAGATAGCAACAAAGTATGTTGTACCTTAGAGTAGAGTGCTTGAGCTAAATCTTCACCATTGGGGAGCTCAAGGTAGACCTGAAATCAAAGCCTATTAATATATCTCACTGAAGGATCAAACTTAACCAGGAAACAAGAACCTAATAATCTTTAGGGTTACGTTTGATCAGAGGAACTCCTTATCTAAAAAATGTACCCACCGCTGTTGGTATTGCGGAACCAAAGAGAGTGAGCAAGGCATCAGGAGTAGAAAAATCAGTACAACCAAACACTAATGGACCAACTTCATCACTATCTCCACTCTGCTCCCCTTGCAAGTAGACAATATCTGGAGCTGAAGAGTTAAACGCAACCTGGAACTCCTCGGAAGTAGGATTATTCAATACCTGAAACTACAACATGACCATATATATATATATGTCTTACCATCTCCATAAAATTCAAACAACGCAAGTGTCATCAACTAACTAACTAACGATTCTAGCAAATCAAAGATATGAAATCTTACCTTGATTCGCCCTGAAGACGAGAGATCCGGAAAAGGGTAACTGGGTTGAGCTTTGTGGTTATCGCTAAGCTCTCCCGAGACAAGAGCCAAAACATTACAAGGGTTTCTCGGAAAGGACTGACTATGAAACATCATTCAAAGCATTACCAAACTTACTCTCTCTCAAAAAGATGACAAGAGGAAATCAATCGAACAAGGTACGAAACCCTAATTTCGAAGGAAGAAAAAAAGAGAGACTCAGAAGGAAACCTAAAAGAGGAGGCCCATCATTCAGGATTACAATTTCTCCGTGGAAATAGGAAGCAACTTGATGATAGTAAGATCAGGACACACACGAGCAAAAAATAATAGGGATCTGAAGAACAAAACAGTTTTTACAATATTGAAGCGCTAATTAGTCTACAGTGTTTTGTTTCACATCGAAGCCCTAAAATAATTACCAGAATTAATCTATTGGGCAACTTACAGTTCTAGCTCAGACTAATTTCGAAAAGGTTTTGTTTTGTTGTTTTTGTTAAACAATCTTTCATTAATCAATCAATACTATTAAAAGAGAACCACTATTTTTATCTACTACGAAGTAGTCATGTAGGACCATTTCATTAATTACTTAGTATGACATATCTTCTCTATTAAAAGAGAAGTACCCATTTCATCTACTATAGAAGAGTCATACTAGATCCATATATTCAGTTACATTGTTTTGATTATTTATATTAGTTTATTTGATTTATA